TCCTCCTAATAGCTACCATCAAAACTCAGCCCGAGCTAACTTTTCTCGTTGCTGCAAAATATATGCGAGAATTGATCTGTCTTGTCATAATGTTGTCGCTACTAGTGACGCAAATAAATACCCGTGAAATCAGAGTACTGTCAGTGCGGTTACATTTGCTTACGTTTTCTATGAAGATCAAAAATTCGCACGGGATGAAATGTCAGCCAGCCTCTAAGGGTTAGCAGTCAAACGGACGACGAAGTCAAATGGAACTTCATCATCAGCGCGTGGCCGGGCTGGCTCGACGATCTCGTTGAAAAATTGCTCTATTTCTGCCGCGTGACGCGTATTACGCGCACTCGATCGTCGCGTCGTGCTGCCGGCGATAAAGGCGGGACATTTTCCTCCGTCTACCACCACCTGTCATCGTGCAATACTACTCCAGCGACTCGAGCGAATCCGCGTGGCCGAGGAACCACCGTCGCGACGTGATCGTCGCCGATCGTCGGCCCGCTGCCGCGCGGGCGACGTTGCACGGAATATCGTGACAAACGACCTTACGTCGGTCCGCTGGAGCTGAAAGACTCTGCTGGATTTCTCAAGAAACCTTGGGGCAAACTGATAAGTGACACGGCCAACGAGATCCGGTATAATATTATATTTATATATGTAAATAGAAGTCCCCCCCTTCCACTCTTACCCGCTTTTCAGGGCCGACGATAGATCGATTTGCGCAATTTACGGAAAGATCAACTTACGCAAGACCAATAAGTGCTGCTTCACAAAGTCACGCTCTCGCGATATTTTTATCAGGGAATTTTACATCAGGATGTTGAAAAAAGGGTTCAAAACTTTAAAAGCAGATAGTACTCACAAAATGGAGGAAATGAATCCTAATAAACATGGGTCGAAAAATTGTCAAAGAGTTGTGAACAATTGTTTATTTTAACCCTCAAGAGCTGCCATCAAATATCACCCAAGCTAACATTTCTTGTTTATAGCAAAGTTTCTATGCGAGAATTGATCTGTTTTATCATAATGTCATCGATAGTGTGAATAAATACCTATAAAATCAGTTTTGTCAGTGCGATTATGTTTTCTAATAAAATTAAAAATTCGCACGGAGTGACATTTCACCCATGACGGCCTTTAAGGATTGATTAAAGCAAGTGACTTATATACGCTTCTGGTGCTTTTCTATTCCCTGGTGTAATTTATCTATGTCATTTATCGGTGAAGAGAGTACTAAAATTTTTAAGGAATCCCTAAAAAGAGTCTGTTTGCTCTATGTAAACATCGTGAGCAATGCTTTAATTAAAATAAATAATTGTTCATAACTCCGACTACATTAATTTTTCAACCCATGTTTATTAGGACCTTTTTCCTCCATTTTGTGAGTACCATCTGCTCTTAAAATTCCGAACCTTTTCTTTAAACACCCTGTACGAAGCTATAATATAGACCTCCGTTAGGCCTTTAACCAACTTTACAGCCGCCATTGTTAAATATCTTGAGCAATAATTTTGTGGCTATGTCATCGTCTGTCTCGTAATTGCTATATTTTTCGAAGAAATACATTTCATCCACTTTCCACTTTTCCTTTCTCCTCCCGCCTTTTGTACGTTACTTTACACCAGTATCTTGAGTGGCAGAGGAAAATCTTTACAATTAAATAAATAACTAATAAATAAATGAATATCCTGAAAGCGAACCTTCAAGGATACCGTCGCTTTTGTCAGTCACACTTTGAGCGCTTGAAATAAGACCCGCCAGCAATTGATATCTAAAATAAACAACTAAATAAATGAATAGCCTTCAACTGATACTGTCACTTTTGTCATTTTAAACGCCTGGAGTAAAACCGACAACAATAACGATCCCACCGGCATCTACCCGTCCCCTTGAAGGCTCAAATCCAATTTATTAGTATCGACCTCTCGGCTATCGATAGGTCGGCCGATACCCTTTCGCTCGTCCTTCTTCGGCCGGCCGGCAGGTAACCGCGGCGCGTCCTTCCGCGAAGCGGGAGTCCACCGCCGTGTCGAGTCCTCTGTCGAATCGCGCGCTACCGATCGCGCAAACGGTCGTAGAGCGGAATCTTAACGGAGGCGCCGATCGCTCGTCTCGGCTCGCGGCTAACTGCGCGGAACGGGTTAAAGGCTCTCGAGTTAACATCGGACGCGCGACCGGCTCTCGCAGGAGAGGACATTCTCTCTCGCGCCGGCTCTTCGGCCGGGCGTCTATCCTCTCGCGCGATCCAAGTCGTGGCGCACGCCACGGGGTGAAAGTCACTCGCCGAATAAACACCGCGGATTACGATTACGATAAAATCCACCGAGCCGGCCGCGGCGGCTCGTCGCGTCGCTCACTCGTCGATCGCTCTGCGGTGCGATGCTGGTGAATACAGCTTCACATGCTGACCAATGGCTGGCTCCCGCTCCCCTTTCCCAGTCCTCGACCGCGGACTCAAAGCGCTTCAGAATCGCGCTTGACGCTGTGAATGGCGACCGACGACCGAATGACGAAGATGCAAATCGCGCGGTTGAAGCGGGAAATCGTCACTGCATCGACGAGTGATTATTGTTACTTTGTTACTTTCGAGAAATGTGCATACATGTAGGAACGTCCGAGGACGTTTCAAGTGTGAGCCCAGGGATGTGATAAAAAACGATGAGACGAAACAAATATCTGTATCTGGGCGTGTCATCGAAATATAATCTTCGTTTCCATTTTTACCATTTTTACAAGGATTAGTTAATTTCTCTACGTTACTGAGGACGTTATTCTGAAATGTCCTTAAAACTTTTCTTACACTGCGGAAATCTTGTCGCGTCATTGGTTAATTTTCTCCACGCAAGTCGGGTCTCAAAAAAAGAATTACCCACTTTAGTCCCCTGGCGATTATTTTTTATTTTCCAAATTGTAATTGGTCCGATTTGCGATGATTATTTGCAGCGATTAAGAAACAATCTCCGTATTAAACCGTTTAAAAGGCAAAGGCTTCGGAATATTCTCTCGGCAATGCGGAAGAATTAATCCATCGCTTAAAACAAAAGAAAAATGCACTGAAAGAAGCGACTGCATAAAAGAGCAATAGAAATGGTCGTTTGATTCTACGATCGTTTGTATATCTTTGGACCGGAAACTTTTGATACGTGAGCATAAGAATTCTTGACTCACAGCCGTCGTGTGTGTAGGTGGAACGAGTGAAACTGAAAAGGAAATCCAGGTGCCATTTGGCAAATTTCGCAACAGTTATTCAAGGATCAGTTTAACGGTTGGCGTGGTTGGTATCAGCGAGTATCAGGCAACGTTGCCTGCTGGGAGATAGGAACTCCTAAGAAGAGGGAATTTTCAAATTTATATTATGACCGAAGATACTCTAAACAGTACTAGGAAATCGCTCCTAAGGCCCAAATTAATTTTTCAACACAACCTCAATTTATTTATCCATAAACATTATTTATTTAAATTTAAACCCACTCTTAACGTATATAGCCGCACCCTCCATTTAATACAGTTGATAAAAGGCTGATTTAAAACCCCAATTTGCAAAATTGATCTTTTGTTTATAAACAAATATTATTTATGTAATTAATTACGTCGTGATCATCGCAAAATAAATTTCGCGACGCGCAAAAGGATACCCCAAGATTTCGTCCCTTAACCTTTTGCTGCGTAATGGTCCTCCCAGAGTGCCACCTATCATCCAAACTTGCATTTCCAATAATTTAAATTTGTCACGCATTTCTTTAGCATATTGTTGGACGTTAGCGTATTGTTGGACTACTAAAATGTTCCTCTAACTAATCTCTAACATCAACTTCTAGAGTTACTTCAAATAAGTAATTTGTTATTAATAAACATATACCGAACAAAACTGTCGTTTTTACAGAATAAATTCGTTTACATAAAATTTTAAGTAATAATGTATACTTCAAAATCATTACCTGGGGGTTTTTGGAGTCGCTAAATGCAAATCCGGTGTGAAAAATACAAAATTCAAAATGGCTGACCCGCTATGGCGGACGGAATTTTCGAAATCGCTCGAATTCGCTTAAAAACCTTGTTACTCGGGGGTTCTTGAAGTCGTTAAATACGAATCCGAATGCGAAAAATACAAAATTCAAAATGACAGATCTCATAAGGCGAACACAATCGTAGAAATGAAACAAGCTGATTGCGCTTGAGAACCGAACAACCTGACCGGTGTCAACCGAACCTTGCCGTACATATCCGTCATAGTTCTGGCATTTCGAATTTTCGATAACAAATTTGTAATTAGCAACTTCGAAAAGCCCTAAATAACAAATTTCAAGCGAATTCGGCTGATTTTGCAAATCCGCCGTCCGCCATATTGGACCCGTCATTTTGAATTTCCCGTATTTTTCACACCGGATTTGTATTCAGCGACCCTAATAAAACCCCCCGAGTAACAAGTTTCACAAAATTATACTCGTTAGAAAAAAACGTGCGACCAAGGGTTAAATACTCCAATAGCTTAAAAACTACGATTTTCTCAAAATTCCACTCCATGTATCTGAGCGAGAGAGATCTTGAGCTATTTTCGTTAAAATAAAAAAAAAAAAAGAAAGAAAGAAAAAAGAGCTTCCCTCAGAATATCTGCAGATATCCGCTCGTGTCGTTTGATCATCAATCACGGAATAACTGCGCAGCCTATGCAAAAGGACTGTTCTCCTTCTGAACCTCGCGCGTTCCTACACGGCCGACCTGCCTGGAGCTCCCAGCCAGCTCGTACGCGCACGAGAGCGGCCACGGTTGCTCACGGGGAGCAGCAACGCGATAAAAATGATCTTCGCAGGACTTTCCGTCGCGAGCCGCGGTTCTCAGTCACAGCCCCTTAATCGCAGCCTCGTTTCTCAAGCGGCTATCTCGCGCGGATCTCCGAACGAGTAGGAGCGCGCGCGGCGTGACGAACGGCCGAATTGTGCGCGGGCGCGCATCTCCGTCTTTCTTCCTCCCCCCCCTCCCCTCTCATTCACTTTTTGGACACTTACCTCTTCGACGAAGGACCTCTGCATATTGGTCCAGCAGAGTTTGCACGGGCACACGTCCTTACTGTCCTTCGGGTTCTCGGTACGCTCGCGGTCCCTAGCGGCGGCCGCCTGCGGCGGCGGCGGCGGCACCGGCGGCGGCAACGGACTGGTCGCTACCTCGAGGCTGTCCGAGCTCGAATTGTGGCGTCGCGGCGGTGTGATGTTGCTGACGTTCGCCTGGCAGGCCTGCCTGACCTCGCACGACCTACCGTGCTGCTGTTCAACGCTGCCGGCTGGCTTGCCGGCCTGCGACGGCGACAGATAGAGATTCAGCATGCACTTGCCGCCTTGCTGCGGCTGCGGCCGCAAAAAGTCGTCCAGCAGATAAAAGCTCTGCGCGCGACTCGATCTGGTGGTGGTGGCGGTGCTGGTTGAGGTCGTGCCGCGACTCTCCACGACGCTCTGCTCCGCCAGGGCCCTGCAGACACCGCCGTCGCCGCGGTTGCCGTTCCTGCACTCCAGCTCGTCCATCAGCTGGTGTCGGTTGCGCGGCGGCGCATGTCGGCCCTCGTCCAGCTCGCGCTCCGTCGACTCGCAGTCCTGGTACAGCCTGCGGCTGACCTTCGACCTGCCGACTTGGCCGAACTCTGTGTTCTCCCTGTAGACGTCTCTACTGACTCTGGAGACACGCGCCGAGTAGGAGGTCGGCTGCTGGTAGCGCGTCTTGCAGCTCGTGCCGCGTGAATCGTCGCGGCGGAAGTGCTCACCCTCGATCATGGACACGCTCATGTTGTGCGACAGGCAATTCTGACTGGCGTGAGAACCGCTAGTACCACCACCGCCGCCGCCACCGCCGCCGCCGCCGCCGCCGCCGCTGCCGCCACCGCCGCCACCACCACTGCCGGGAGTCCTTAGAAGTGCGCCGAGAGACCGCCATTTCCGGTCTTGTTGACTCGTCGACGACACCGACGATCTCGTCCACTTCCTCTCGTTGGACGGCGACGTCAGCAGACTGTTACCCACGGACCATTTCCGCTCGTTGGTGGGCGACGTCATCGAGGACTGCCACTTTCTCTCGTTCGACGGCGACGCCATCGAGGTGCTGGACCATTTCCTCTCGGAGGAGGCCGCGCCAACGGACGCGACCGCTCCACCGTTGGCGTTCAGCTGCTCCTCCCGTTGGCGCGCCTTCCACCAGGACGACGTGGAGAAGAGTATCAACGCGCCACGCAGCGGATTCTGATTCTTGGCGGCTCCCTTCGGCGAGAGGTCGCGGTCCTTGACCTTGAGCGCGCAGTCCCTCAAGTTGGAGTCGCACTCGCGGTCGCTGAACGCGGCGCCGTCGCGCTCTCGCAGCGCGCTCTTGGCGGCCGCCACCTCTTCCTCGTGGTACAAGGTCGCGTTCGTGCTGCGCAACCGCGGCCGGATCCTCACGAAGCCGTAATCGTTGCCATCCTGAACAGGATCGAGCGTCTGCTCGCGATGATGCACTCGAGCACCGCCCGGAGACTGTTGCTGCTGCTGCTGCTGCTGCTGTTGTTGCTGTTGATGCTGATGCTGATGCTGATGCTGATGCAACAGGGAGTGCGAGGCCGCCTGGCCGGACGTGTACTGATGATGACCGACGCCGCTCAGCTGCAGACTCGGCTGCTGCAGCAACGTCGAGGTCCTCGCGCGATGACCCTCGCCGGCGGTACCGCGTTGCAAGCAGGAGAAGCTCGCCGAGTGCCGCAAGCTCGAGGGCGTGTTGCCCGGCTGACTCACGCCCAACATGTCGCCACCTTTTATTTTCAGTCTTTGATCTCGGGAGTGCACGCTGGCAGAGGAGGCAGGAGAGACGCCGTGTGTTCAACGTACGTGTGTGTGTGTGTGTGTGTGTGTGTGTGAATACGTGTGCGTATGCGCGCGTGTCCGCGAGCAAGCAAGGGACGCGGACGAGGGTAGGCTTGATGATACGAGGGCTGAGGATGGGGGGAGGATGGGGGATCAACGTGGAGCGAGAGCTAAGATCGACGGGGAACGGTTCAGCGGACGGAGCGATCTAGCTCGTCATTACTCCTGGCAGTGTTTTTATCAGTCTCGGCGTCTCGCGATAACATCCGGCGCATTCCCTCCGCGGAGATCACTGTCTCTGTCTCTCTCTCTCTCTCTCGCTCTCTCCTTCCTTCTAATCTCTTTCTCTCTTCCTCTCTCGCTTCTAGACTGCCCTGCTCTTCCCTCGGTCGATTCCTCTTCCCTGTATCGCGCGCGTCATCATCGTCGATTTCAGATTCGTGTATAAACTCGCTTTCTCTCTCTCTCTCTTTCTCTCTCTCACACACACACACACATACACACTCTTTCATTCACACTTTCTCTCTCTCTCTCTCTCTCTCTCTCTCTCTCTCTCTCTCTCTCTCTCTCTCTCTCTCTCTCGCTCTCTGTTTCTCGTCGAGACGCAGCAGCAGCCACCCTCGTGGGCTACATCCTCGTCGCTCCGCGGTTGTCTCTCGTGCGTTCCCTACCGTACGATGCACGTAGTTCGTAACAGAGAGATCTGTAACAGAAAGTAGGAACAGGGTAGGGAGCGGCAACTTAAAAAAAAAGACAGCAGCGATGAGAAACGAATAAAACCGTCGTGTCGGCTAGCGTCGTTCGCGCGCGCGCGCGCAGCCATGAAGAAAAAATCAAAGTGCTCGATGAGCGCGACGTGAGTGGTGAGGTGAATGCGAGCATATGGAGGCCGAGGGGGGGGGGCGGGCGAGCACGGCGTACATACATAGGGGAGGGAGACACGAGATCGACACGATCGGCGGGTGAGGGGGGAGGGGCAAAGGTCGCGGCGCGACCTCGTCGCGGTGATGGTCGCGCGTGTCGTGGCTGAACGGCCGCCGCGCCGGTGAGACGATTTCTTCGGTTAACCCCGTCCGTCGCCGCGGAGCGGCGGAGGACGAAGGTCGTTTCGCGGGCAACGGCGGCCGCCCGACTCCGAGGCGAGCTATCGGCGACCGACGTGGCGGCGTTTCCTGCGAAAACCCGCGTGTGCTTCCAAGCGACGGAACGCGTTCGCTCGTTCTCTCCTCGCAGACGCGCGGAATCATTTTTATTTTTTATTTATTTTTTTTTCTTGCGTCGTAGCGCGATTCCCGGCGAGGGGAAGATCCAACGTCAACGTCCGGGGGCGGCGGGGCGGAATTTACGGCCGCGACGAGCCCCGACGCGCGTTTTTCACGCGGTGTTGAGCGCGACTTAAGGAATTACATGCAGAGCAGGCTGTTTTCAAGGCTATTTTTACGAATTTTGTTAACAGGAACGGTAGGACCAATGGACTTGAAACTTTCACAGTGTATTCATTAATGTCCAAAGTAGAAGATAAATGTGTTACTCTATCTATATGGAAAGTACACGCAAAACTTTAAACGCGTTTATCTGTAAACACCGTTTTCTTAAACTGTCGACACGATCGCGCAAAAACTACTGAACCGAATAACTTGAAATTTTTACACAATGTACAGTAGACATGTAGTTTTCGCCCCTACCTCGTACACAGTTATATTTTATTTTATTCATTTCTTTAAACATGACTACGTGTTGAAAACATTTCATTTCCGATACTTTCTTTGTACGGTCATTATTTTAGCTTCACTGCTTTCATTTTGATACGGGCTATAACCATGGCAACCGTATATCTTAAAAATCTGTCTCATTTTTTTCGGTTTCAGAGTAGTGAGAGGCGCGGAATTATGTCGACAGCAAACATAGAGCTCGCAAGCGGATGATTGCATTTTTATCTGTAATTACAAATTGGATCGGTTCTAGTGATTCAATAAAATTTATTTTATATATTGAATATAAAAGTGAACATATTAGTGAATACACCGTGAAACTTTCGAGTCCATTGATCTTACCGTTTCTGTTAAAGAAATTCGTAAAAATAGCCTTGAAAACGGCCTTCCGCCTGTAATTCCCGCCTTAAGGGCTAACATTTGAGTAAGCGCCTGAAAACAGAGTAAGTTTGGGAATTTTTTGTAGTTAAATAACAACATAGATGGAAAATTGGTTTGAAGACCTAACATGCGTACCTCAAACTACACAAAACAATTTTTTGTTATTATTTTGCCTCAAGATGGCGGCACTGAAGCTCTCCAAGTAAAACCGCATTTTTCTCATGGGTCCCCGCGGCTTGCAGCAGAAACGCCGTACACTTTCAAAAAGGACAGACAGAAACAAAATTTTTGTTATGTATCCACATTAAATTTGCTAGAGAAGTACGCACGTATATGTTAAAATATTGATTGAATTTTTGTAGAAATGGTAAGCATTAGGGAAAAAGTTTCAGCTTTATCCAAGAAATTCAGTGAAAAGATATTTATAATAACGAAAGTTTTAAACCGATCGTAAAAATCAACTGTACTTCTCTAGAGAATATAGCTTAGCAGCTACTGTAAACATTTCGAGTGGATCGGATGAAATTTGTCGAAGTTCCTGCTGCAAGCCAATTCGAAAAACATATGGTTTTACTTGAAGAGCTTCAGCGCCGCCATCTTCAGGCAAAATAATAACAAAAAATTGTTTCGTGTAGTTTCAGGTGTGCACCGTTAGAGGCCTCCAAGCGAATTTCCCATCTATGTTGTTATTTAACTAGAAAAAATACCCAAACTTACTCTGTATGTTTTCAGGCGTTCACTCAGATGTTACCTCTTAACACTCCGCGCGCGAACGACGCGCCAAAGCGGCGAGCGGCCGCGCGGTCATCGGCTGCGACGTTACGACATTAGACGCGAACGCGCGCGGCTAAGCGCAGGGGGTACGTATGCAGAATTAGAGCGTATCGGTGCGCGGATGCAAATATGAGCGCCGCCGCCGTCGCCGTCGCTTGACTGCGCAGTCCGCGGAACCGGGTTCGCCTCGCGGCTGGAATTGCGCGGACGGGCGCGAACGCGAAACGAGAGAGGCATCTCGCCGGCGCACAGTGGGGCCAGATGACATTCTTTGGCTGAAAATTCTCGAGACCTGAATTTCCAACCGATCGTCGACACCAATGGATGAGGCTGGATCCTGCATAAATTCCGAGGAGATCTCTATCTTGCCGAAATTAAAAAAGAAATTTTTTTCTCGAAAGCCTCAGAAGAGGAAAAATTGTCATTAAACGCGAGAAACTTGTAAAACACTCATTATTCGACACTTATTTCTATCTAATAGCGTATTCAGTGGATTGAAACTATGAAACCAATCAACAGATTCACCTCGAGATTCATCGATCTTGAACCAAAAATCGTTAACCCAAAGCTCATATGCCCAAAATACAAAGGCATCAAATGTAGACACAGTTAAGCACAAAACCGCGGGTTTTTGATCCTTAATTCTTTCTTTATGTGGGCCGAAATGATGAGCTTTGAAATTCTGAGTTTTCTAAAAGGTGATTATAAGTTCTGGACTCTCGCATTTAGTCCATCCATAGGCTCGAACCCATCGAGGTCGAACCCAAGACACTGTACTTTAAACGATAAACTTTTCAGACAAACTCTCTAAACCCATGAACCTTGAATCGATAATTTTTTCAAAATTTCGGCTGGACAGATCTCTTTGGAATTTATTCAGGATCAATCTCATCCATTGGTGATCGCGATGATCAGTAGGAAATTCAGGTCTCTAAAGAATTTTCAATCAAAAAGTATCATCTGGCCCCACTGTGCGGCGCAACCGATGGCTTGTGAGTGTGATTAATGACGCGCGCTCGGACAGCCGAAAGCGCGCGATGAGATGACAGGCCAGTGTGATGCGCCGGCATGCTCAATTAATGCAACCTATTAAAAAGAAGCTCTAGGAAAACGGGAGTCAAGAACTACAGAGAGAGAGAGAGAGAGAGAGAGAGAGAGAGAGAGAGAGAGAGAGAGAGAGAGAGAGAGAGAGAGAGAGAGAGAGAGAGAGAGAGAGAGGGAAAATTATCTCGCCGGAATGAGGAAGACAGCAGCGGTTGAGAAGGCGCGGGGACGGGGACGGGGGGAGCGGCGGTAGTCAAGAGGCGGGGGCGAGGGCGGGGAGCGGACTTGAAAATTGAGGGCATTACGTGTATCTTCTCTTGTGAAGCCTGCGATATTGACGTAACTATTTCCTAATTAGCGCAGTCTGGGCCGTCGTTAGCGCGATTAACATTTCGCGCAGGGGACGTCTGGCGAGAACGCGGGTCAAAGGTCCGGCGTACAATGCGCTTGTCTGCGGAGCGGCCGCCGCCGCTCTCTTGAGAGATAGAGAGAGCGACGGAAGGAACGCACCATGTGGACAGGCTCGCGCCTCTCGCCAGGTCGGCTCGCCTTGTCTTCGGCGAGGCACAAAGCTGGCGACCTCGCTGACGAGAGCGCTGAAGAGAGGGGCTGCGATGCTGAGAAACGCATTCGCGTTAATCTCGAGCTCTCAAGACGTCCTCAGCGGCGATCGAGGCAGCAGCAGCCTTGTCGCCCGACGCCGCGCCGTGGCCGTCGAGGAGACGCTCCCGACTTCTCCAGCCGGCATCGTGTTCTCCCATTAGATGCGAGAGCGAGAGCGGAGTCTCCCGCGATTACCGGCGTCGTTCGCGAGATATCCGCTGATATCCCCGGGATGGAGCGGACCCCCCGTCGGCGAACGCGACGCGATCGTGACAGAACTCGCCAAGCTCCGCCTGGAGACACGAGGTCGCTCGAATTAACGCGACGATGAGCGAGCGAGCGAGTCAAGCGTAGGGATGCAACGATTTCTCAAAATATCGATAACGATATCATCGTCATTCAGAAGCATCGATAACGATAATATCGATAATTTTGAAAAATATCGATATTCGTATCGATATTTATTATATATAAAAATATGTATACATATAAAGGGTATGCACGAAAAATTTGAAGAGATCTTTCAAAAATTTTCATCTTCATATAATTTATTGTCGTATTCTTATTAGAAAATATATAATGAACCGCAGTCAGATTTGCCGGAGATCACCACATACATGGAGCGGGAGATCTATTACGGTTCAACGATCCAGACGGAAATTATAAAAATGAGCGAATTTGCTAGACATCGAGCAATTACGTAATATATATTCCAGTGAATTCACTCACTCTTGTAATTTTCATCTCGGTCGTAGAACCGTAATAGGTAACCCAGAAGAGCTGTAACTGAAAAATACGAAAATCAATAAAATTCATATCGATATGTCGATTTTATCGGAGACAAAACATATCGGTAAATATTCGATATTTGTCTCTATCGATATATCGATATTTCGACATTATCGATTAATCGTTGCATCCCTAGCCAAGCGCGTGTCTCGCTCGCGAGGGCGGCGGAATCTCTCATTCTTGGAGCTGGCGAGTGAAGCTGATGAATCCGCAGCAGCAACCGGAAATTCCGCTCCCTTCGAGCAGAACGCGCGCGCGCGCGGCTCGTTTTCACAGTCACGCGTTCGTGCGGCCAAATTTCTGCCTCCGTGCGCGCAACGACTCGAGCCGAAATCTTCAAGCTATTCTCGACCTCGATACTCCGATTTTATTCGACTCTCATTTTATACTCTGAAGCGCG